GGTGGGCTCCAGCGCCTGGCCCACACACCACCAGTGTCGGGTTTCAATGTTGTTGTTGTTCGGTTTAGGGCTGCACCTAGACGGTCATACCCTACCTGTTGTATGCACACCCAGAATTTGTGGGCAGTATCTGTTATAGGGAGAAGTAGGTACCCCCCAAACCCTAAACCCTAAACCCGAAGGGCTTCGGGATTGAAGGTTTCAGGGTTCCGGTGGAGATTCAGAGCTTCCTGTAGCAACGACGAGAAGAAGAAGTTAGTAGAAGAGTCAACATGCCGTTTACCTATAGTCTTCATTGTAGTTCCTTTTGGGGGATACCTTATAAAAATCCCTAATGGTTAAACCAAGAAAAGGAACTACAATGGAGACTATAGGTAGGGGGCAGGAGCCGGGGCAGGAGCAGGAGAAGGACCAGAAGCAAGAGGAGTAGCAGCATCCGCAGCAGCAGCTAGGGCAGAAGAGGCAAGTGTTGTAGATTTCATGGGTGCCGCCATCGACATACAGTTATCAGTATAAGACTGTGTGGCGAGATCTTGGCCGAAGGAGTAATATTGCAAGTGTTGCATCTACAACAGTGTTCAACGATCTTCGGTCGATGGTCTAGGTACTGGCAGCAGCCCGAATGATCCTGTCTTAGGGTTTAGGGTTTAGGGTTTAGGGTTTGGTTCAGAAGGTCTGTGGAGCCTGACGAGTCGATTTTCTCTGATAACGAGTACATTGAAGAGACATGATCTATAAGGTATCCCCCCAAAAAGGAACTACAATGGAGACTACAGGTAAACCCTAAACCCCTAAGATCTGCAGAAAAACGGCGCATCCCAAGTCTCTTCGGTGCCGCCGAGACTGGTTTGAGGGGAAGTCAATCCTGAACTTTACTAAGAGCCCAGGTCTCCAAAGCATCTGCCATGCAAAACCCTAAGGGTCCATGTTTTTATATAGTATATACACTGGTCCCAAAGTACTTATATATATACACATGTATATATATATAGAGATATAGATAGATATAGGGACTACTTTAAGGCCAAAGTATCTACTATTTGGGCACATGGACCCTGATGGAAAACCTCAACCCTTAACTCCAACCCTGAACAACTCTCAATCTTGCCCAACATCTCGCGAGCAACACAAGTTGACAGGCAAGAGTCGCTCTTCGCAGAGAGTCTAGACGAGTTCGACCACGCCAAAGAGGCAGCTGACTGCATTCTCATGGCGAAAGCATAACGTAATACAGTATACTAAAAAAGGTGCTAATAGAATACATAGTAATATGATGCCGTATATAGTATACTATATATATATATATATACATATATATATATATATATATATGTGTGAGACCAAGGGTTTAGGGTTGTAACGCTGGGTCCGAAATATCATTAGGGGCCGATATGAAGTGCAGGTCTGACAAACCAAACCTCAATATGAGGGCAAGGTTATGCTGGGTACAGTTTGGCTCCCACCACGCCCTCATTGAATCATATCTGGGACTGCTATCCATCAGTTTATGGCGAAGCTTTGCGGCGCGTGCTTTCGGATTCTTGAGGGGTTGGTCCCTAAACCCCTAAACCCTAAACCCTAAACCCATAAGACTGAGGGAGTAGAGCTGAGGCTTCTGGACTCTTTTGAGCAGCTTAGTGTGGACCTTCGGGGATGGGGTTTAAAGTGTAATGTGTTACTGTATGTAGGCATTCAGCTTAGGGCTCAGGCTTGCAAGGATCCCAGACACTTCAAAGCAGCAAGATATGAGGCCAGCTCTAGCTGCCCTAAACCCTAAACCCTAAACCCTAAACCCTATAACGCTTTGTATGAGCCAAGTCTATGGAGTGTTGGTGATCTGCTGGCAGCTTTGGAGGAGAGGTTGCGTGCTCTGCGCCTAGCTGGGTTCTGCTTAGCCAGCTCATACTTGGAGGGTCGGGGGACTTAGTAAGTGGGTAGCAAGTAGACTTATAAGTACCCTAACAGGGATCGTAGTTGGGTTTAATTATGATACTTATAAGTCTATAAACTAACCACTTACTCAGTCCCCCGACCCTCCAAGTACCGTTACCCTGCAGACAGAGCAGACTACTACATCGAGCCACGGCGACGCGACAACAGTACGCAAGAGGAGGAGGAGGAGGAGGAGGAGGAAGACGCAGCTGCCCCTGCATGCCACTGCCGACCCTTGACACGTCGTGCTCGTCCACTTAGGGCTGACATTTAGTCGGTTTTGAGCATCAAGCCTCTGTGCATAACCGCAGTGCTTGGATACGTCCGTTTGACGGCCGTCCGGTCGGGACCTCGTTCGAGGGTCTGAGCATCGGCTATAGCAACGCATTGTACCTGATATACGATACCTATAGTCTCCATTGTAGTTCCTTTTTGGGGATACTTCATAAAATCCTCAATATATTATACCAGCCTCGACCCCAAACAGCAACAAATGGGAGACAAATGGGAGACAAGTGGGAGACAAATGAGTAGCGGTTTCTAGAGTAGTGCCGTGAGAAATCCAAA